TTCTTAGGTGCTTACCTCTTTTGTTTCTCACTTCTTAATGTCATAAGATACTCCCTCGAACAGTAGCATAACCGTGGCCTCGCAAAGATAAAAGACACAAATAGGGCTCTAGGAAAAGAAATATCTGGGTAATTACGTTGGAGACTGTGAGCAGATGTATCTATGAGATATACTCAATTGAATTCATGTTGCTTTGAGCCAACTTTTTCTGTTTTTGATGTGTGACGACAGGCAATAGGGAGCTCTTATCATCAGATATTTTAGGGTTGTTATGTCCATTATAAAGGCATACCTTAAGGTTAATTCTTGCTTTGGGCGCTAATTTTCAAGGGAATATTTAAGGTGGAAATTGTGCTTTTTAAAGAAATTATTTCTAGTCCAGAAGTAAATATATTGATTAAAACTAGTTTGTGATTAAAATAAAATATATTTTACGTTATTCATTGCAATAGTTGTTCCGTATGATTCTAACATGATTGTCAAAAATTATAAATGACCTAAAATGGGTTAAATCATCTTCTCAAAAAAACTAAAATGACATGTATAAATGCTTAAAATTCCTAACCCCAGGGGTAACAATTGAGCCTCCAGAACGATTGGATGGAAGGCCTTGCCCTGCAATGAGATATACGGCTACAACTCAATTTAAAGTGTAATGAAGTTACGAAGTAGCTAATGCACTTCATATGGAACAATTTTAAATCAACGTTGGCAGTTTATGTTTTAAATAGGAAATATAGACGTTTTATTCAATGACAGTTCAAAATCATCAACATTTCAGCATAGAAGCATACGTTTTTGTGCAATTACCTCTTGAAGTTACTTTTCTGTACGGCAATAAAACTTCCCTTCTACCGACGTACTAACTTCTAATTTTGTGTAAAAATTGAAAAAAACCCTCGCCATGAAAACACCCTAATCATGAATACACACTGTCCAGGAGTGTAACATGCTTTAGCTATCACAGCTAAATCCACATTAGGCAATCAGAATAAAAAAAACAGTTCTTATATGTTTCGCTTAGGATGCCTGCTTATATTGAAGATATAAAATACTCGAAGTATTGCAAAAGGAGCAAATCTGACGACCAGAAAAGGGCGTCCTCAAATGAGAACGCTGGGCGTTAATGGGTTAAAGTAGTGAGCAGTGTTCCGCGAATTACTGCCATCACATCGACGAATTTGTACCGCATTAGTTCTGTAAGGAGATCTTATCGACTAAGTTCGAGAAATCTCAATTTTAGGGGCGATCAACAGTACAACAATGTTTTTTACACTTCACCTCACATTTTTGTATGTTTTTATATAATCTATAATACTTTCTTTGGAAATTTGAATATTAGTCAGTAAAATATACATGTTCCAATATAGGGTAGTCACAATATTTACAAATTGCGGTATATAAAATATTACCGTTTAGGTGTATATATTGTTTGTAAGTTTTATTATTGAACAGTTTATCATTTCATTGTTTATTCAGTTCTCAAAACATTCCAAGTTTTTTATTTAGTACGTATTTGTCTTCAAATGTCGTCCAATTCTCTTCGTAGGGATGAAAAACTTTTTAGATGTGTATTCACGACCTCCTGTTTTCTGGAGTAGTCCATTTTATTGATATGTCTGTAGATATCAACAAAAAACCTATGGGCTTTTTATTAGAGTAATTTTACTACATTTCATATTGTCGAACTTTGAATAACTTGCACATCAGTGGCCAATCAAAAGAGTTTTATGACTTAAGGGAAGGGTCCCACAAGTTGCTGGGGAAATGAAAAAACTTTGACAGGGGAGAAACATCATGAAAATAAACAATTCACAAGTTATTGTCACAAATGTACGTTCCTGTTTGTATTACTTTTTACATAGAGTATTCAATAGAGCGCCTCGGTCGTTAATAAAGTTCCCCGTTTCTGTTTGCAACGGAGAGGCATGTGAGAATCCTGGCCAATTGGCGTAAGCGTCTAGAAATTCGGCATTCCTGGGACTCCACATTTCAGACGCAGCTAGAAAAGGATCAGTGAAGGGGCTAATGATAATCGGCCGCTGGAGAGGGCGCCTCCTCCGCTTCGCAGGGCGCTTAGGCGCACATTCGAAATCGCTGACTGCGCGCGCAGATTCGCTCGCAAGGAGTCTAAGGAATCTCAAAGCGCCTCTCCCCGCCCCGCCCCGGCCCCGCCCCCCTCGCCCAGCCCCGCGCCGCCGGGTGGCCCGCGCACTCCTCTCTCGAACGGAACCAAGCGACAGCAACAGCGCGGCCGAGGATGGCACGAGGTAGTTGGTGGTGAGGAAGGCGCGGGGCGGGGCACGTGGCGGGGTGGAGGGGTGCGGGCCGGGTGGAGGCGGTGGAGGGGTGGCGGCGACCAGGAAAGGGCGGTCGAAGGCGCTTCATCCGCGAAGAAGTCCCTTTCGTTCAAGGGGAGCTGCTGGGTGCCCAGGGACCATTACGGCGGATATTGTGAAGGGAGATGGGTTAATAGGTCGTCTGCGCGGTTATGTTGTACGGTGTCTGGATGAGAATGGCGCAATTTCGTTCATCATTAACGAAGCGTTCAGATGGGAGCGTTTTGTTCGATTCCTGCAAACTCTTACTATCCAAGCTTATTTCAGTTCCTGGAATTTTGATAAAATCTCTTTATCATAGGTGTATTTTTCATTTTATTCCAGTTTATTAGTAAAACACAAAATTAAAAATGAATTATGGAATGACAGGCCAAGTAGTTCGTTGAGCCGGGCAAGTACAACCCTACTTTTAGCAATATTATTAACTTTTCCTGGATTTCATATGAGGAACAGCGGGGGTTTTGGAGGGGCAGGGCGCCAGCTTTCTGGAGTGCGAAAAAATTAAAAATTACCGAATTTGTATCTAAAAAGTATTAAATTATATTCTGCGTTCTTCGTCCGTCAAGAAAAGCAATTACGATAAAAAAATAAAACTAATATTTTGACCTTGAGTAATAAATACCACTTTCACTTCACTTGGGGATGTTGCTCAAACGATGTTTACGTATTGAATAGGCAGCTTTAGCGCCAGGCGTAAGGAGATATCCGTAAACTCTATTGATCACGTGACTAAAGCCTTTATAAGGTCGTAAGGAACAACGTTCAGAAGAGTTTTAGCAATTGAGACATTACGTTTTGCATTATAACAAAGGAAACATTTCAAGCGTTGAACAGAGAAATTGCATAATATATCAGAGTGTAGGCTATTGGTGAGACATTTAAAACAAGTTACGAGTCAACAGAATAACACATATACACTTCCGGGTCTAATAATATTAGCAGTTAAGACGCTCGGAACACTAGTCAATCGATCAAACTAACGTAAAAAGGAAAACTATTATGACATTCGTGTGTATCCGCAAGCAGAAAAAGGTCACTTCCTATTGTTTAATAATTATCTGCACCAGAATCGCTCCTTAAATGGACTTTTCTGAAATTAAAGGAAATATAAATTTAAAAACGCTTCCAGAAGATCTCTAAACTTTTAAACGGCAACACACGGATTTTTTCAGATTTGTCGTGAATTTCAATTTGAAGGGAAGTGAAAAAATATATTTGAATAAAGAACATTAAAGAGACAAGCATATATTATGATCATATGACTTAAAATTAGCCACGAGAAAATTTTATTTGTCAGTAGACCCAGTAATGCACACTCTAGCAATATAATCCTACATAGCTTCCTGACCACTGAAGAATGTACGACTGTTTATTCAAAAGTTAACTGACGCAAAGAGTTCAAGACAAGTAATTGCTGATTAGATGTTGGAGCTACATCGTGATAACTTGAGTTCTTTATACCCGACGGTGCCACTCACCTGTCGATATAATCAGGCATTAGCAACAGTGAATCAGCTGCGGCAGTCACATTTCTTCCAAAGGATTGATTTTCTGAAATGGCTTTTAGAACTCCTAATCCCAAACCATCCTCTTCACACATCACGTGTGGTAAGTTTGGTAGAGACTTCAGTTAGAGTGAAGTATTTCTCATATCGACGCGACCAACTCGGAGAACTTCCCAACACTTCAATTAAACTCGGAGAGCAACCTCGTCCCACACGCACGGGGGCGCCGAGTTTCACTCCCCTCCCCCCTCACCCCTCCTCGCCGTAATGATCGCTCCACGAAATGCTTGACCCTGCCGGCGCCCTTGCCTGTCAAGTGAAGTACCATCCACCTGGCAAACCTGGTCTGTACACTAAATACATTTCTAGTCGCTTGTATGCGCATAAAATATTAACTTTTCTTCGCGAATCGACCATCATGACGCCACGCGATATGTGCATCCACCGGGGCTCAGACTTGATTATCGGGGTAGGTGCTCGTTACTTTTCTATAAGGGACAAAAGCATTTTAATACCCCAGGATTCTTAGATGGAATGAAATTATTATGATGAATAATGAAATACACTCACACAATGAAGTATACAGACCCACACACACACAACACAACAATGCCCGAGGCGGGACTTGAACTCGCGATCTTGTGGTCCGAGACCGCTACAGTACTACTTTCTTACCAATCTCGGCCATCGGTTCGCCATTCTTCTTCTTCTTATAATAATAATAATAATAATTATTATTGTTGTTGTTGTTGTTGTTGTTGTTGTTGTTATTGTTGTTGTCGGACGGACGGACGGACGAGAGTGGACGGACGGCGGTTTTTGAGTGGGTCGCGCGCACTAGACGCCACGGACACTTTGGGCACTTCGCTCTGTGCCTTGTTTGTGTGCGCGATGGATACGTAATTCAAATAAAGAAGCAAATGCATTGAGACTGGTTAGCACTTTAATTTATGCAAGACACATACAAAAAAATTTGTTGATTATTGAACTAATGAATCATTCCAAAATATGGCATAATTTATTCCCTATGCACAATGAACCAAGTATCACCAATACTGCACAGCGTTTTATAAATATCTTGAAATTTAATTTTGGGAAATGTTAGTCCCTGATTCAGATGGTTAAGCTAACCAATTACATTACGCTTCCCAACAAGGTAATACATCAAATGGCGTCATCGGCGCGCCGGAGTCTTCAGTAGCGCTTTGCCTCGGACCTTTTGCGAGCGGCGGAAGGAGCGGATCGCCCCTCCGCGCCCGCGCACGCCTCGTGCGCGCACCCCTGCGGACGTCAATGCAATCAACGGTTCGAAATCCTGTCCGCCCCCCCCCCGTCCGTGCCGAAAAGACCCGGCGCGCGCTACGCTGTAGGAGGGCGAAAGTGTGAGGTATTTTTAAATAAGCTAAATATGTAGCTTGTTCGTAACTATTGTAGTCTTATTTTCCTGTTTACATCCTATTTTTTTTCGCAGAAGTGAATTGTGTATTACTGGTGATTTCATCGTATTTATAAAATATCTAAAGCACATCATGTTGAAAACAAAGTTTAGATCCCAAACTGAATTAATTACATTATTACTTCCTCGCACTTACTAACGTAAAAAGAGAAAGTATTGTAATCGTGTGCCGGAGAACGGCGAATTTTCGACACAGAAACTCTTATTGCCAGGACCTGGTATTTCAATAGAATTATACAATATTATCAGGGAACCATTTCAAAACCGAAAGCAAAAACGTTTTATTTTCTAAAACATAAACGTAATTCAAAACAGAAATATATTATAAAATGAAACTGGAACGTTATTTCAACCAGTTGGATACCAGAAAAGTTTCGAAATCACTTCATCATTGCAACAAATCTGCGATTACGAAATACGAAACGAAACGAAACATTCCCACTGGAAAAATACTCTCATATACGTGCATCGATACCACTTGATGATCCTAAAAACGTTTGGCATCCAGAAATTCTTTAAAGCGATTGAAGAATAAATTTGATGTTTTTGTGATAATTAAAGTCTCATAAATTTCATTGTAATTTTAATTTAAACCTATTGCCGTCCTTATTTTTATTTCTTATTTTTTGTATAATGCTAATAGTTTAATATTTAATAGTGCACTCTTACACCATTAATTAAAGTATTATTTATTACATGGTTACTCTGTATCGTGGATGCATCCGCAGATGAATAGAACCTCCTGTGGGTGCTGCAGAGAATGCCCATGGCCCTTGAGGTCCGTAGAGTAAGGATGACACACACAATTTACATTTTTTCATTCATTAAAAACCGAAGATGCTGAACTGATTTTACAGAAAGTGAAAGTGTTGCAATATATTATCGTAGTGTTCATTGATGAATTTCATACTTGTAAATATTATAATTTCCTTTAGAACAGAGGTATTAGTTCTGTGAATTATATCTCCTACGGTTGAGTTGTATCGAACATTTCCACTTCTACTCGTGTCGTCAAATCCAAACAGTTCTCCTTCTGAATCCGGGACGCAAGGCTAAATTTCGCTGAGCCATCTCTGAAAGGGCCACATGCTTTGTAGAGTAATTGCTTCTTTTCTTTATACAACTGTGTAAAAGCAATATCCGCAGATATTCTGTTTGCAAAATATAATCAATACTATTAACACAAGCTTTCATTAAACACGATTATTGTACTATGAACGACCCCTTACTGGTACTTATAAAAAAGTTTCATATCGCTTGAAGTCGTAGTATGAACATTTGAGAAGGCTGTAAATTTCGATGAAATTTGACTGGATAACGTTGTAATGATTAGAGAAGGTTTTAATAATTCTCCTTCGTCTTGAAGACAATGTAACGTATTCACCAAATCTTAAATTAACTCTTTTCAATACTATCCATCATTCATTATCACTTGAAGTGGCAATTATATTCGGACATTATTAAATGTACTCATTTTCTCGCCTTTTTTGTAATCACAAGAATTATTTTTGGGATGTTTTTTCTAGAGAAAATGTCAAGTATTTTCATATCATTTCTAGAACCTAATGTATGGAATGCGGAGGTACATTACCCGAAGAAGCATTAACTTCTGACAACTCACACTTTTAAGCGTTTCTTGAGAACATCTATTTAAATTGTTGAGTTGTATCTACTATAGTAGAGCGCGTTCTCTGAAAAGAGACCACCCACACCATCTCGGATTTGCAAACGAACAGTCGAGCAACGTATCTTTAATGGTCGCATTCGCTATTAAGTTTATCTCGTACTTTGTCATGGGTGGATCGCCAACGGAGAAATCTGCAGACGTGGCAAATGCAAAATTTAGTCATTGATTCTTTCATCTACAAATCAAGGCCCACGGGAAATAGGCGGTTGCGAAGATGTAAGCAATCAGACTATAACATGCTTTCGTTACGTGCTGTTTTATCAAACGACCTCTCGCCTGGATCCATTCTTAAAACGTTTCAAGTCCAAATTAGCGTTCAGTTCCTCGTGAGGGAATGTGTCTAGTCACAGCCACGGGTTCTGCACTGTGGTTCACCAGCGCGTGAAGTGAAGGTCTCCGCGTTGCGGTGTGCAGTCTGAGGCCACCAGCAGCGCCCTCGCCCTTCCCTGCTCATTTCGTGCGCGTGGGCGGCGCCAGGTAGCTCGTGGCGCAGCGAAGCTCGTAACCTGCACCGAGCTGTCTCGTAAGGAGCCCGGCCGACCGCTCTGCGACCGTTATCCCCCCCCCCTACGCGGTTCGCCAATGAACTGCAGCAAATACTACAGAGGCAGTGCAGGGCACTCGGCGACAACACGGGAGACACTGGAAGAGAGCGACCTAGAGGCCCTGTCGTAACCATTGTGATATCAAGTACAAAGTGTATAAGTATTTTTAGTTTACTTACGATTATGTTTACTTACGTTTCGCAGAGTGATTCAAGAGTTATTATATATGTACTGAAATTTGAATTAGTCGTCGATTTTTCAAGTTCGGTCGCTAGGTTCGGTAGCGAGCAGTTGTCTCCCATTAAAAGTATGAGAAAGGTTCCAAAAGTCCTGTATTGTCTTCAGTATTTGACTACAGTGCGGAAGGGACTGACACTCCGGTCCCCATTGTTTTACTATTCTGTACTTATTGTTCGCGTGTCTCTTTGCAGCATCGCTGTTGTTTCCTCTAGTTTGTCGCAAATGCTTCTTTTCGCGCATAGCAGCTGTCTGTTGAAAGTTCAACTTACTCATTCCATTGCATTACGATAATTTAATCATAATGCATACCGGTCACATTGTAATTGTTTATACTTTGTCCACCACACACTCTTTCTCTCATTGTACAAGTATATTCAGTGCATCTAAGTCCCTTTGCGCACATTTCCATTCTTCATTCTCAGACTATTCTTCTCGCTAATTGAAATTGTTTTAAATGTATTGCTCTGCCGTTTTTTTTCGATTCTTGTTTACTCTTACTGTACTTGAGACATCTGCAGACGACATTGGTAGCCGAGATCGCTGAAGTATCGTATGGGGGAGTGCTACATCGCTCTCCGCTCGGAGAGTCACGGGTTCGGGTCCCGACCCGAATGTGCGCTTGTGTTGTAGAACGGCTGGGCTCTTCCAATCATTGCACGGGTGGATATTGTTTCATCGAATGATGTGGAATCTTAGCAATTAACCCTTGAACGTCGTTTGCTATCCGTCAGCCTCTCCCCTGGTACGAGATGTGAGCAGGCATAAAATCAGGTTTGTGACGTGAAACCTCAAAAGTCAGCGCCAAGTTTAGCCTGCCTTCCTTCTTCTCACACAGAACCAAGTGGGATGGGCTCCCAAGCTAAAATTGTTCAAGTGCACATGTATTAAGGAATAAGGGCTCGCGAGCCACATCGCTGCGGTGGATGGGGAGGCTGCTGGTACGACAGTGGGGCCACTTGGAGTTTTCTCAGTCCAGGCGGGGAAGTTTAAAGTCATCAGGTGTAAAATCGACGATTTTAAATATTCAGTTTCATTTATCATGAAAGCAGTTCTGCATTAACGGTGTTATTGCACCCATCTCCTCAATTGCTCATATTGTATATTGCTTTCTGCATACATTATTATCCCCTTGAACTTTTGACCCGTAACTCATAATCCCATTAAATCTTGTAAATATTTATTCAAAGCAGATCGTAATCCCATTCGGAGCGTTGATAACTTCCTGTCCACTTTAGTCCTTTTTTGCACAATCTCATGTATTTTCTCATTGTTTTGCAATGTTTTCATCTTTATCAAAGCTGGGGAAGATATTGCTTTTCTGGAGGTACAAATCTTTTTCTGGAGTCGTCAAGTTCGATAAAGTGATATTTCAGATTATTATATTTAAACTATTGTATAAATGTTCACATTTTGAACTATTTTTATGTAAGTTCAAAAATTATTTGTATCAAAACGCGTGTACGTCGTTCTCAAGGAACACTTCTTGTTCAAGTGTAGTTCGTATTTTAGTTCCCAATTAAATATGTCGAAAAGTCTTCGGAAAAAATAATTTCCTGTCAGAAGTTGATGCCTAATAGTATTTCCTATCGTGTTTTTATCGGGAATTTCAATTAAATTGATGTTCAGACGTCGTGGTTGAAAGAGAAGTAGACGCGAACTCTATATCCAATTTATTTACAGAGTATTGAGAGGTCCCGAGCGCCACCGCGATCGGACAACTCGTCTACACACTTCGTGCGCCAATTGAGGCTCCGCCTCGCACGTGAACACTCGCGTGGCTACTTGTCCCCCGTGCAGGTGCGGCACACACCAGCTGGGGCGCAGGCTTTGCGTATCGCGCTCCAAGATGAAGGTGCGTGGGGCGAGCGCGTCGGCGGTTTTGTCCCCGCCGGTTCCATCCCGCAGCCACCTCCGCTGGCCGCAGGAGGGCGCTTACGACACCGCCACGGGACTCTACCCTGACCAGCAATAGCTGCAAGGCTGATCCCTCGGCCACAGTTTTCTACAAATATCTGTCCATTCTTCGCAGATTTGTCCAACACCCATCTGTCGCACGGCAGCAACGTGACGGAACAATACACTTTTCGGTAAACATTGTTCCCTAATGGGAACTTCGTGGAAATTTGTGGACGTTCCCATCCCCTTGTCAGTGACTAAAAATCTCCTACCTATGCAGCCCAAATCCCCCATAATTCACAGTGATCAGGAATTCATTAGTTTGCCTTGTCAGCTGACTAGCACACACGGATGAAAATTTGTGACAGGCGATTTTCAATTTTCACGAATTTGTCAATAAATTTCGTGTAGGCTTACATATTGTGCCTCCTCTCTCTTGTCAGTTGCTCGAGGGTGAGAATGTTTTAATCGGGTAATCACACACTACTTTGTCACTCTTTTTAGAGGAATTTTTCTTAAACATTTCATATCACTCTAATAATGGCAATTAAAACGCTAGAATTTTTTGGAATATTTTGTGGTTTCATTTTATTTATTCTTCTTTCTGGTATATTTGAGAATTCACTTTCACTATACTATCTTTATTTCAACAGCTCACTTTACATAATCTGTAATATTCTGCTCACATCAATAATATTACACAGTTATAGGCAAACCTTCGTGTCCTATGAATGGAATACAATATCATCGCATTACTCGACTTCAATGTTCGAGTTATTTCCTGACCTAATAGAGTTTGTATTGCAAGATAATGGTGATGAAATGGTTACAGGTAATTAATACAATAAACCCTGGAAAAAAAGAACTTGTAGTGCTATGTTAGCACTTACTTCCTCTCGTTATTTGCAACCGTTAAGAAATATTATACTATTACTTGATCTAGCAAAAGTGTTTCCAAGCCAGCAAATGTTTGTTCAAGCTAAATATGGCGCTACTCATATTTTCAAAACATTTACTTATCATTATTTGTATATCAAATTGTGAAGAATACATGTCATTAAGAAAAACTTCTGTCTTCAGTATTGTAACCGTAGGAAGGAGCCTCAACCTTTAGAAAGTTGAACGAAATCGAATCTGAGTCATATTTATAATTAATATCAGATAAAAAATTTAAAGAGAAAATTTGGAGCCCTTTTTTGTGAAAATTTTGAAAATGTCGTTGAAGCTTCAAATGACAGGGCACTTTTTGGTGCTACCTAAAAAATACCCTCAAAGTTTTAAATTCTCAGGAAGGTTTGGAGTGTAGCAAAATCTATCGGATAATACCATTTTTTGATAAAATATTATGAATGGTTTAGGCGGTATTGGTGTTCAGATAAAAAGACTACCGTGTTGACAAAATACAATTTTTAGGTGTCAAGGGATTGCAACGGCAGTCAGATTGATTGAGAAATATCAATTTAGGGGAAAATGCTACCTACGGTTTATCCGCTAGTGTTGTTTACAGACGAATGAACAGGCATACGTTTAACCTAAACCAATTATTAGGTATCAAAGATCCACTAAAGGTGAATTCTGCCAAAACTACATTTTAGAGCATGTAATTTATTACATATAGAAGCAAGAATTATCCACTTTTTTGGTATAAAGAGTCCCACAAAACGAGTTTTTTTAACAAAATTGCTACTTTACGATTCATTCTTTTTACTACATACGTATCTATAAGGCGAGAAAGTAGAACGTAGATCAGTTGAAAAATTACATTTTAATTAGATTAACTGTTATTTATTTTTTGAATTGCTTCCCATAATATCTTAAACATTGGATTAATTTACTCGGAAATGTGACGTACTAATTTCCTCAATAAAACTTGCACTTACGATATAAATATATTTTTTGCCAGAAAAACTTCCAGCACAGTATACACACGCTAGCATTGTACAACGTAGAGAATACGTGCCTCAAATTCATTTTTAAGATTTTGCTGAGTTTTGCGAACTGAATACGTTTGTAACAAAAGCTTGAAAAATTCGTTAATATTGACTCATTGACGTCAATATATTTAACAAATGCTCGCTCAGATTGGACGTTGAATGACAGGGTTCTATTCGTTCTGCTAATATCACAAAATATTTTGTGATGTCCCTCAAACAATCCAACCCTCGTAAATAAAATTTAAAACCCTGGATTTCAACGCTAGTGATATTTTATTCAGTTTTATTCGAGGAGAACAAACCATTGTTTGTGCGTGTGCCATACTCATTGCCGAGCGAGGCATGTGCTCAGGCTTGCGCTTGTATGCAAGCCAACGCCCTGCGCAGACGCTCACACCCTTTGCCTTCCGCTGAACGAAGACTGAAGGGGCTCATGAGGGGTCAACGATCAGATGCACCAGTTTTTGTGCAAAAACGTGTGTAATTATGAATAGAATGAATGATGTTTCAAATGCGATACGTCAGGGCATGGGAAGCCAACCATGATGACACAACCGCATATGAACACGCATGAATGACAATCGCACACGCGTGATTCGAACCCGCTGCCCCTAGCATTGGCAGGCTGCCCCCAGCCCCTGCGCCTCCGCGTCCCCCAAAACATTTCATTTTCCTCGTGACTATCGACAAGCCGCGACATTTGACTGTCGTACATACACCGAATCTGTTTATTCGATCACCATTGTAAGAAAGAAGTAATGTCTGACGCCTGGAAAACAAAAAGTATAGCGACAGGAGACAAGTGTAGCGCGATAAATTGAAAGGGCAAAACGATGTTCAGCTATCGGTGCCATGAGAACACGAGAGTCATTGATTTCCGTTAGACAGAAGCAACTCAACTGACATCGCCTTTTTTGTTATGTCTTTTTCCAGTTGTGCTCTGTTTTACCACCCTGTTAGAGTATATCTCGAGTTGAAAACTGAACATTCACGCCCTTGTAGTCTCCTTAAATGCGGGATCTTGCGACTGAGAGACCTTCTTCAACACAATACTCGAGTGACAAAGACCAAATATCCATCCTTTGTAATGGTATCGAACCCATCACCGTGCAAATGGAGGCGGTGAAACTGTACTAACTCTACCTGTTCTATATGAACTAGCTCGGCCATCTATACCGGCACGATACTATATTCAATTATTACTTCGCTTATTAGTCAGCTGACAGTAATTCCGCAGACAGGCTAAGCCGGTGCACCTTTCCTTTGCGAGGGGAGGAGCTTTGCTCGTAGTGTCCGTTACGCGCCCGCGTCCGCCCGCGCATCCTCTTCTGGTAGGACAGTATGAGCTGCGATAAGTCATAGCTCTTCCACGGCTTCATTTTTCAAGTTCCTCTTCTTCAAACCGATACAATTACATTTACCGGCAAACTTGCGTGTTCAGTCGTGTTTTGTGATTATAATTTACGATTCACAAAAGTAAATACTTCTTTAATTCTTCTACCCCGTTATGCAGACCACTTGTTTGTGGCCCCAATTTTCAATCACTTGTCCGATGAAGAAGAATCGCAAAAAGATCGTCCATTGAAGAGTTTTGAGCGACTTTTTCTCCCAGAATCCTTTAAGCTTGCTAATTGTGTCATCAGTTTAACATGCATATCTTATTCTTTCATTGATATTTCTCTCGAAATATATTATCGTCGTTAAAATATGCATCTCCTAATTTTTCTGAGATTTCAAAATATTTTATTCAAAATTTCCATAAAAAAACATAGTTTTAATTACGGACTTATTGATAACCATGGAATCCATTTTGATTATTAGCACTATCTTTTAATCATGCCACAAAATAAATATTCATAATATTCTTTACATTTTAATACATGTCCTCATAAAATAACAAAATTACAACACTAAAACATCTTTGCCTGGTGTTTTATTTATTTCGTAAGTTTTGATCGTACATTCCAAAACACTGCTTCAGAAATCGAGTCTTTGCAAATCGCATTGTTCGTAGTTACGTGGTGGAGGCAGCTGTGGTGGGATGGGGGTGGTGCAGGAGGAAGGGGTGTTGGTGCTGCTGCTGGTGAGCCGCCGTGCACGAATTAATCTTGTCCATCAACCTTCTTCGCCTGGTACCTTCCACTATAATACTCGTTCTGACATAAGATTTTTTCCCAAATTTAAAACTTTTAACTCACAATTTCAAGTTTCGATTAATCACTATTATTACATATTGTTTACCATCGCATCTAGCTACTTTTTCTCGGCACTACGTAGAACAGAGGAAAATAATTTAAATGTGATGACGAAGGGTTGGTGGTGAAAGGTGTTTCGAGGTCCCAGAGATGGATTCACTCGGGTGCAATAGGTGAGGAAATATGATCTTTTAAAACAAAATAGTTTGTGGTCCTAGTGAATTACACAGGCCCCTGCGTCAGCAATGAGTTCAAAAATACAGCCGTACCTGGGTATGTGAGATTTTACAGAAGAGAAAATTTTATTCTTACTTAAGTTTTTCGTTTATCCAGTTTCTCATTTATATTCAAAAAGTCTTCGTCTCGCTTATAAAAGAACTCAATAATGAAGGTTCAAATGATATTTCTTTCAGTTAAAATCGTAAGTTATTTTATCGTTATTTATGTGCGCTTTGTTTGTTGGGTGCCTTGGAGCTGCCCGCTGAGGGCCGACGTTCGTGCGCAGGAGGCAGCTCGCTGCGGCCGCTGGGCGCGGCGCCCGCCACCACGCCGCGCTCCATGCTGCGCACGGCCGAGATCATCATCATGCTGGTGGCGCTGTTCCTGGTGTCGTGGACGCCCTACGCAGTCGTCACGCTCATCGGCCAGTTCGGGGACATGCGCCTCGTCACGCCCTGGGTGGCCGCGCTGCCCGCCTTCTTCGCAAAGGTACCTCCTGCCAAGGCTCAGGCGCGGATCCAACGGCCAGGTCGTAAGCTCTCGGTGCAAGCGGAATGCCTCTACGCTCTAATGTCTCTCTGACTGTAGCCGGATTACAGACCTGCGTATTATTCGCAGCTCAACAGCAGGTAATGTAGATCTCATGCATTTGATACTAGGGGTATTCAGTGACCTCAACTTTTGTTTGTACTCAATGTCTTAGCAAACAGGTTCAAGGATTCTCAATGTCCATTTATATAATTAAAGTAGACGATAGTTCGTCCCCAGTACCGTAGAAAATAGCGTAGAGTTAAAAAACCGAGCTTTCGGATTCAAATCCAATAAGGTAGATTTTCGAAAGGCGAAATGTACCCTGTCAACCATGTCACATTTGTAGCATGCACAAGAATTCGAATTAAATTGCCGGTAAATTTAAATTCTCCGGCAATTCTTGTCCTCATCACCGCCCACATTCGCTCTTCCAGAAAATGATACAAGTAATGATAAATACGACTGCTACTTGCATTTTGTCTTGTAGCGAGGATAAGTCAACAGTAGTTTTTAGTTTTGGGAGCTCATGAACCAATCTAGAAAACTATCAATGATTGAGCTACTGTCAAGTGTGGACTAGTGAACATGTTTCCACTCCTAGTTGCTCTTAACAACTGTCGTTCCGGTACTATTACAAGTTATCCTCAGTACCATCACTATCAACTTCAATCAGTACTTTATTGGTGTATCACAATTGTTTATCGAAGAGTTAGGTTTTCTTGCTTCAATCAATTCCAATCGTTCAACATCTATAGCCATATCTAGATTAATTCAGTTTCTGTTTCAATTGAGCCTTGGTTGCCAGAGATGAGCTGCGAGTGCGTCGAAGTTGTGGACGTTTCGTTTAACGCATTGCGGCATTTCATTTCGTCAACATCCAGTGCGCATGTTTTTGAGCTAGAAAGTAAACGCGTACCCACGATTTCGTGCCATCTCACATTACCCCTTTTATGCTACACAGTGCGGTACATAATTCTGGCATTTAGCTGATTTACATGATGTACAAGTACAGTTTCAAACCGATTATAATTTGAATGAATATTATCTATCTAGCTTCATCTGAGTCAGTTATGAATTAGAATCCAACGATTGGACATACATTTTTCATCAGTACACTTAGGACACTTTCGGATCTCTTTACAAATAAGAGGTTTGCGTGAAAACTCTAGAAGTTATTCACAGGAATTTCAGCCGTAAAATAAAGAAATTATTTACAAAAATAGTGAAGTAATTCAATATTGGTTGGTGAAGTTATCCATCGTCTAAGAAGATAATTAACTTCCTTAGATGTTATATGAGTGAATAGTAATCATGCAAATAAATCTAGGGTCTTAAGTACGCCAATACGTATTTCGTTTTAAGGTCATAAACACAGTAATGGAGTAGTAAACAATAATGTAAATTAATTTAAATTTAAAATTGTTATTAAATGCAGTGTATTTCAAACATTTCAAATTGATTAAATAAATAACGTATTTAGTAAACTCACACCCATACACATATTTTCTTGCACAGAGAAGTACCATCGCGTACTGAAAAACACTCAAGTGAGAATGGCCATGTCTACCCTATCGCTTGAAACGGCTTTGTTTACGCCAATAAAAGGCTCTTACTGGAATTTCTCGTTCGACTGCAAGGTGCTTGCAGCTTTTACTAACGAACACTTTGGCCTGAGAATTCACATCGCTGTCTCCCCTGGGGTTTTGGTGATATTTTACTGTGGTGTCCCGTCTTCCCTCACTCCAAGAGATAGGGAGACTTTTGCGTTATTTCTTTATCTGACCATCGTTTATTAAAGCTAACTCTCTCTGTGTCACAGGTTTTCTTTTTGGACAAATTATTATATCCAGTTGACTGAAATCATGTTACATAATTCGCGCCACCCCGATAATGTATAATAATGTGAACTGTAAACAATATAAATTCGCCATTTCAATTTATTAACTTTTTCTAAAAACATTTAATAAACATTTAATAAACATTTCAATAAGATGATCCCTTGAAAACATAGATCTAATGAAAGTTTGATTGCTGTGACGTATTGAGTAGATCAGATTTATTTGAAGAATTCTCAATGGTAGAAGAAATACCTCTGTAAGCCGGCATGTCGATTTTTAGTAAGTTTTTATAGTTTAGTGAGAATACCTTATTTTGAGGTAAAAATTAAATTAAAAAATGTAAAATCGGCTTCAAAACTGAATCAACTGAACTGAACAAATCCATGTGTACGGCCGGTAATAGGGTAGCTCGCTGGGTTATATATGACATTATGTATATGTGAATAAAATGTTTCAGACGCGTTCCACTTCATCATCTCCACTCCACTTCATCATCACTACTATTGATTCAGATGATTAAAATTGAACTTTTTCCAATCACTTCCATTACTCACCTCAATACTTAAGTTACCTAATTTTCCTAAAAATTCGACTTCCCCACTTCTTTGACAAGTCATCGTACATGACATTGGGAATGATAAGACTTTGCCCAAAGGCAACACGATTTAACCGGAGAAACTGCTAGGTAGTCCTTCTTCAATAAAGATTATTTTCAAAGAAATATGGCAGAAATAAGGGTATTCAAACCCCTTTGAATTCTCTCGAGGCATCTTTCCCGATTGTGAAAGCGAGTCTCGTATTTGCGCACGCTTCCTCTTAGCGGTCTTTATGCAAAATCGTAGAACTTTTCGTTATACCAAATTGGAATCTCTCTGCGTCAGGCCCAAAGTAAACTCGTTTTGCTCGTGGAAAATTGCGCTCTCTTGCAAACGGAACTTGCAGTTGGAAACTAGCGCCTTTGGCGACAGCAGGACGAGCGCGCTGCGGAAACGCCCCACAAAGCGGCGTTCGTGACCGGTTGCTTCCAGTTAGTTGAAAAGCAGGTCGTCACCGTTTAGGTTCTACTTTGCTCTAACTCGTGATAGTTCGAACCAGTGAGAACACTGTAAATGCTCTGGGACTTTTCATCTAAATAATGTGAAACGACTGAGTCACACACTTGAAGTGATAAATTAAGTCTTATCCTTGATAGATAATGACATTAAAGAACAATAGGAAATGATTTCGAGCGTGTTAGATATAATACAGAGTTATTGAAAATATATAATTAATATAGTAATGCTCATAAAAATAGCAATGAAACATCATAGAATACAATAGTCAATAAAAAAGCTCTGTATCTAAAAATAAAGATAATGGATTGACATTCAGCGCTTGAATTAATTTAATTTTGAACTACGAAATAATTTGAGCAATATGTCATTTATTTATAAAAACTATGATTTTTCTAAAAAATAAGGGATCATTTATACAAATCATGTAATAATTCATCATAAACTATCAAACTTTTCTGGATGTTTACACTTTGTATTGTTTTTCAAAACTGTATTAAATTTTAAGAGTGTTTATTACCCTTGAACGGAGACATTAAACTAGAAAATTAACACATATGGCATCATTACTAAACTTAAAACGTAAAAACGTTGCTTTAAGTTCTACTTATGATTTTTGCTCCCGGTCAGATGTTGGAGTGTTTTGTACACAAAACTTTTTCCAATAAAGCGAAAATTCAGTGTCGGTAGCTCAAACAAGCAGCGATTTGAGATTCAATATTGGAGGCATATATCGGCAAACAATGCTCATGAAACATCATCTCTAGATTGGGGAAATTACAGGAGTTATTGAATTTTAAAGGGTAAATGATACTGAATGGTAATGGCGAATCATAAAGGAAGGAATAAGTTAATATTTTACCAAAATCAAAACTTTGATGAAAAGGAAATGTAATATTTATGAGTAAATAGTATTAAAAAGGAATAAGTCAAAAATATGCTCGTGGGTTGAGCAAGGTTAATTATTAGTTATTAGGTTGGCAGATAGGTCGCCTATGAAATGAATAATTGTGGTTCAGAAGTGAATATGATGCAACTCATTGGAAACGTAAGTACAGAATGATATAAAATAACAACAAAAACAACCAATTTAAAGCGAGTTTGCAGAACATCCTCCCAAACACTTCAATTATAATTGTTTACAAAGTGTCAAGGAACTTAGAAGGGATTGAAAATAAACTTTACGCGTTCGATGTGTGTTAGAAGCTCATAAATGAGGGTTTATAGAATTAATGATTCCACGCCTTGACCACTTGATCACTTCCTTATCTAAAAATAATATGTTAGTGCAAGTCTCAGGTCTTAGGATGGTTAGTGATTCCGGGAGGGTCGGCTCCATAGACTATTCTGTCTTCTGGTGGTAAGTGTTGCTCGCTACAAAATTTGCCAGAGAAGTTTCGTTGTGAAGCAATTTCCATGCTGTACCCTTCGCAACATCCAACCAAGCAGAAACTCTTCTTACATTGGTTGATAGATTTTCTTCGACTTCTCTCACAACAAGGTGATTTGCTTCTTCCGAATTATGTTCCGAGTCCAGAGGTAACGAAATTCTTTCTTGCAATATTTTAAATGTGTTAATAGATATGTATTTATACGATACAAAGGAAATTGCCCATGCTACTCTTCTGCAATGCTGTCATAAAAAACCGAAACATAAATAGACATATGACAGATTAGGAAGGCATATATACGACTGTTTTTGAGCATTTTCAAACTTACCGCCAGTGGCGCGCTGATGAAAGCCCCTCTCTCGAATCTGGCTGCCTAAAGTTTCTCAATCGTGGGCTCTGTGCAGTGCCAACTGCTTCACTTCTACTCTGAACAAACTTGGTCACGTGAATGTGGCTAAGGAAGGAAGAATTTTCCCAGCATCTATAGAAGATTTTTGTTTCTGAGCAAATTAAAAAGTAAAGTTGTAAAGTTGTTGTTTTTTTCGTGTCCTGTATATGCAATTGTTTCTGAATGAATGCGTTCTGATAAAAAAGGCGACAAAATCATACGAACATCAGATTTCACTGTATTAAACCTACTATTTTGTGTTAATAGATGCAAAAGGACAGTGCTCTTGAGAGATAAAGTAAATAGCAGCAATTACTTTTGAGCGGGAAGGGAACAACTCTGTGAGCGCACGACATGTTGCATTTAATGATTTGCTGCAGCAGTCCTCGTGCAATGATCCCATTCAGATTTCTCATAATCACACATCTCTGGGCAGCACCTCGCGTTCCAATTACATAATTTTAGATTACTAGAAACCTTGAACTGCAAGCAAGATGTTGAAGCTTCGAAATAGTAAATAAATCAATACTATAAAAGTCCTAAATTTTAACTGTTTTTCATCTTTAGTTACAAAATTAGGGTTACAAAGAGATGTAACTGAAAGCTGTAACATTTATTCTGACATTTAGAGGGTTCGAATTAATTTTTGCCTGTGAACATGCGATTAGCAATGTCATATATTTAAGTTACACACGCGACATCTGCAGTCAATTAACAGAAACTTCGCATGCTTCGCAGTTGGTCAGTTTCACGGAATTTGGCCGCCTCAGAACGCGACCAGGAGGAGTGCGATTACTCTCATCTTAACAAGGAGAAAATCAACAAATTTCATTGTTTTTATTCAAATAACGAGACACAGTCACAAAAGAAATTGGATCTTAATATGTGTTGTCTCACTGTACTAGTATCTTAATTTTCCTATGTAATAGTATGGTAAAGGAAATAAACGTCCACAAAAGGTTCAATAATTTTTATTAATTATTGCCCAGAGTTAACCAAAAATATTTTTATTTATTTATTTGTTGGTTGTTTTTTCACTAAATACATTATATTTCTTTTTTTGTTCAACTTGTGTTAATGTTTCAATTTTCTCCTCCTTGCTACAGACCCTCTGAGGATGAGAAAAGTGTTTTCCGAAATTATTAAACTTTTTGTGGACGATTATTTCCTTTACCATATTATGGATTGCTACAAGATATCTGCTACCACCACGGAATCTGTGTAATACATTTAAAATTATTCGTGTAAAACTATTTTAATGCCCTGACAGAAGAAAGGAAACACATCTTTGAGATATACGTATATTACTGTAATGCAAGTATGTCGATTTAAGAATATAAAATGTTTCAGATAAGTTAAAGAAATTGTCGATTTTACCAATTCTCTATTCCAATAAACATGTACCAATACCAATTCTTTATTCCATACATATGTACTTTTATTCCGTAATGATAACAAATAAATTTATTTCCAGACAGACGAAGGTGGTTGAAAATATTCTGAAACATCGAGTACGCACGCCAATGAGTGAATTGTTCTATTAATTGCTTTGTTATCTCTGTAAAGGAACGGTTCCCCCTGCTTGTTTTCGTCACCACACCCCTTTCCCTCCTCCTCACCGTGTCAACCCATTGGCGTGGTGTGCGCAGGCGAGCGTGGTGTACAACCCCATCGTGTACGGGCTGTCGCACCCGCACTTCCGCGCCTCGCTCAAGCAGTACCTGTCGTCGTGCCAGGGCGCGCGCAGCAGCGTCAGCACCATGTCGATGGCGGCGGTTCGCGAGGGCGCCAGCGCCCCGGGTGCGCGGCGCGCGGCGCTGGGGGCGGGGCCGGGGNNNGTGCGCTGCCCGCGCCGCCTGCACAGCACCGACGGGCCCAGCGTGGGCCGCCCCGTGTGCTCCCTGCGGCGCCCGCCGCCCGCCCACGCCGCACCTGATCCCGTTGACTGCGAGGTACGACCTCGGGGTATTGTAGTCACAAGCATCCTCTCCGCCGCTGCGCCCGCGCTCCCTTTGGACATGCCACCGTCGGGTGGGAGAGTGGGGGCGTGGGGTTAATGTCGTAATTACACGGGCCCGCCAGGACAGAGACTGCGGCCCGCCGTAGCGTGGGGACGGATTCACCGACTGCGACATGTCCTTCTGGGCAATATTATAGCACGGGCTCGCTCCTACGAAGCCAACAAGCTCTTAGCTCCGTCTTATCGCCTGCAACAGATAACATTCTCGACTTACTGTAACGCTTTTCGCATTTTTATATAGCCAGTGCATTTTTATTCGTGCGACTGAGAGACATGACTTGCATTGACCCCCCAATCAATTTCTAACGTTACCTACATTGTCGATCTACTAGTTTAATTGAAATCAATTATCTTGCACGAATCGCACTTGCATGTATTCACTCGCATTCGAGATTATACAAACCCTTTATCCTTCTGAATACTCTGGTGAGTTCAGTTATTAATGATAATGAACATATATGTAGTCTCCTCTACACACACAACGTGCTCCACTGTAGGCATCAGCACGAGATGTGACCTTTAAGTTAATGACGTAATAACATCGCACAGTCAATGTGTTTTGCAATCCCTTAAATGAACATGGAATTATGGACTGTGGTGTATGTAGCGTATCCATTATTAGCCTACCTCCGTACAGTGTCTCAGAAAAATGTCACAAACAAAAGCGTGTAGGATCACAGAAAATGATTACTTTTTGACACTAAACACGCGATGGAAAAGTGCATATAACGAAGTTGCATATGTGATATGTGCTCTTGATTGGTAGGCAACTCGTCATGCGATGGTTTTTGGTGGTCACAAAAGCAGCTTTGATTGCTGCAGATCGTGACCCGCCAAACACCAACGTACGAAGTGTTGCCTACGAATCAGATGCACAGGTCACGCATGTATTTTTGTTATACGAAATTTCCCAGCCCACGCTCAACGGCCAAAGTGACAATCTTTGTCTCCTCTACATGCTTAACATTTATTCTTAGACATAGGGTATTAGAAAGTGTATTTTCTATCCTGACCCGAATGCCGTTAACTGGAGACATTGCAGAAAAAAGAAGTTGCATACACTAATATTTCTAAAACGTCACTATAAATTGATTAAGAAGTGAAAAAGTTTGGAGGATAGTAGAAACATCATGGTTTCAGCTATTTTGGTACGTGTTGTTACTTTACATGTGTTTTTTGTTTGTGTGTGTGTGTGTGTGTGTGTGGGTGAATATCAATTATACCAAATAATTTGTTACAACTATTGATATGGTGACGGTATTTAACACAAGAAAAGTATAGCTTCATTATTTTTACGAAAATTCATTGAATTCTGTTAAAAGTAAAGAAATGAAAATGTTTTTTGCAAGATAATCTTCATGAATACCCTCATTTCACTACAGAGATTAACTGAATTCATCCCTTATTCTTGTCCTCGGTTTAGTAAGCTAGAGGGCTACATTTGATTGAGAATTGTGACGTACTAGTATTGTATAATTTTTCCCTTTGGCCCTAATAGTTTCAGTACTCATTTACTCCATTGTAAAAGTTGTACATGATAGTTAATATGGTATTAAGGCGTAATGTGATAAATTCGTCAGAAAATGTCATTATTCGCATGGAGAAGTATGCCGTAATGATTTGGACCAAAATTGCCATTTCGATGATTTATTGTCTCCAAGACTGTCGTTTAACCCAGCGTCAGTAACGCGGGGATTTGTGGGAACCCCACGCTCCTTTCTTCTCGCTTGTCGTGTTTTCCACGTTTGCTACTCTGGGCATTGCTTTAGTACCTTTCTATTTCTGTATAACGATATTTATTCTGATTTCAGTTTGCCGGTTTAGTGAGTTTTATACATGCGGCAAGCTTTTGTTTTTGGTGCCCAGGAACCCCCGCATTACCTTTTACGTTTGCAAAGATGTCCTCAGTCTCGTATTCTATTACCTTAGGAAAGTATTGCATGCTGTATTTTTACGTTAGGATACCTCTGTGAAGTGAATATTGAGTGCTATGAACATTTTAGGTCACTTTTTATGTTACGAAAGGAGCGAACAATACGTCAGCTTTTGCTGAAAGCGGGAACAGAATATAGTTACCGTCCGGGAAAAAAAGCATTCTGCACGCAACTGCAAAAGACCGAAATGTTTTCTTTGCATATTGACTCGGATATTATTGAGAGAATTACATAATTTGAGAATATTATTGAGGGTAAAAAATAAAAACTGAAATGGACCTAGGAAAGTATAAAAATAACTGCAGCACCTAAAAAACCGACAAAGAGGAAATAAAGACAGTAACTGAGCTTCTTCTTTTGGCTGGATCTGCGAAATCAGAGCATCAAAATCTTATTGATTTGGGTTTTGGATCTTGAGGAGATGGGTTTTGAAATTTTCCATCATGCTTTGAATTTGAAAAGATTTAAATTTTTGCTACGAAACATGGGCGTCGATGTGATAACACGCGTAGAGGAAAGACTGGTAGACTAATGAACTCCAACTAGAGAAATGTTAGATACTTTCGTGATGAATTTTCAGAATTGTTTAGCAACAAAATTCTTAATAAAGTGTTTAATTACCCGCACAAAGCAGTTAAAATCGTAATAGAAGAGTATTCTATTAATTTAATTTTTTATAATTGGCCATATATCATGAAAATAGTGTGGGGTGTAACACTTTTGCTTCAAAATGACACGTTACCACTGCAGGGTTAATAGTGTAAAAATGTATAATTAATTACAATCCTAAAATAAAAAGACTAAAACTTGGGCGCTAACTTTATTCAATTTCGTAAGCAATTTATTATGAAATTCACAACAAAATAAAGCTTGAATAATTGAAAGGGCTATGTTGACAATATTGAATTTGTACTTTGCGCTATAAATTATTTGTTGAAGTTGCCAGCACGTCTGTTGCTGACGGACGCAGTCGCTAGTTTCTAGGTGCTTTCGTGAAATTGCACGTTGCGTATGTTGAGTGCTTGTTTGATAAAGCTAACGAGATCGTGTTCCAGAAAATTACTGGCGGTTCTACCTTTTGCACCAATCCACGCGTAGGAAGGTTTGATTTAGGAACAGAAGTAGATGAAGCTTATTTCACTCACTTTGAAAGCCAGAGTGGCATTTCACTTCGAAATGTGACCTACTAGTTGGGAGAAAAGTTGTACGTATACCACGCGCAAGTACCTATGCGAAAATGTCTTTTAAAAGAATTTCATTAGTCAAAAAATAACAATCCTTAAACTGACTATTTAATATAGCACTACACACAGCATATGAGTATGTCCCATACACAATACTTCAATGAAAATTCATAATTTAATTGCAATGTACATTAATTTATTCACGTAACGCTGATCTCCTTCTGTCCCTTATTCCTGACTATGTAATTAATAATTTATGAACATCCTTTAAACTGGAAAATGCGTTTTTAAAGATTTAAATTCGTTACTTGATAATCAAACTATTAAAATTGACGTTATTCCTTTGCCCTACCCTTCTCTTATGATTCTGCTGTCATTAAGCAGTCTCATCAGATTTTCCACGGACTTCGGCCCACGACACTGAACATCATGATATATCTCGAAGTAACTACAAAACTGTGAATACAGTTATAATTTAACAAACGGTAATGACTGCAGAATTTCTTCATCTTCCAATGCTTACAGATCTCTGGTACAACATCCTAGAAATTATAATGTATTATTTCAAACATACCACTCGAAAGAAGAAAACCGTACAGAGTAGTCCTCAGACAAATGCACATTTCATCCGACATCTCAGAAATGTTCAAATATATTGAGAAGGTTCATAATTATGACAAGTACTTAACAAAGCACAGAATCACAAAAGATCCATTACCGAACTCTTCATTGTCCTCGAATCCAGACATTAATTTTTTGTTGGTTATTAAGTTTGTACCACCGCGTGTGAAGAAAGAAATACACCACAATGTTGTGGATATTTTTAAAGCTGTATCAAGTGTGGTCAGGACCTTGAATTCATCAAATGCAAAAAATAATTTAGCACATTACCTACATGCGCACTCTAGAATGGCAAATACCCAGCTAACTACATAGGTTGCAAAATATTCCAGGGAATAGAACACAGAATAGCTCACTCATATGCACGACCATCGTTAAAGCAAATGTTACGAAATGAAGAAAAGTAAGAGGGAAACACAGTACAACACCAGTCCCAAATATAGAAGAGTTCTCACAAATAGATAATCCAGTCACAGATATTCTCACGACGCGCTTATGCTCAAGCACTGTTAACAATAATAAAAAACTAATTGATCGTCCTGCCACCAAACAAATCCCTATTTCAGTGACTTGAGCAAATAATATGTAAACAATCTGAACAAATGCGTACATTACTCGATCTCATAATTAAGTGAATGACTAAAATATGAAAAACGCCTGCAGAATGGATTGCTAATGGGTAATCTCTGCGCATATCAGAACTAAAAGTATTTTAAAAAATGAAGACATAGTCTTCTCTTCGGATATTAGCATTATATCTATCTCAACTTCTACTAGATATTACAACATCTAGGATACCTAACATCCAGATGGTACAGCGATCGGCAGTAATAATAAACAATCAAACAGTGTGTGTTGCCGGCATACCAGAAAGAGCTTATACAAGCTACTACAATACAAATTAATGATGCTTATGGACCCGTCACTGTAATCACATTGCATTGTCCACCAAAACAAAATAAAAAGAATGAATTTAACGGCTTCTTCAAATCCCTAGGGCCAAGGTTCACAGAAGGAGGTGATGTCAAGGCCGAAAGCGAAATGTGGGTATCCCCTTAACAAGAGGGGAGAACTTGAAAAGGCAATGGCGGTTCTGCGTCTTACGACAGTTTCAACAGGGTCCCCAACATATTGGCCCTTAGATGCAAAGAAAGTACCCAATGTCATAGATTTTTTTTCGTAAAGAATAGATTCGAGAAAACTTCATAACAATTCAATATTCTCTTGATCTTAACTCTTTTATTTATTTGCGTCAAAAACAGTTAAAACTGTGTGACGTGCTATGGAGAGAAGTTAAT